GGCGCAGAAGCGGGGCTTCGCGGAGGTGCTCAAGCCCAGGAGAAGGGCGGCTGGGCGGGGTCCCTGTTCCTTTTGGTTTTAGACTGCTCCTAAATTAAGTAATTAATGGACTACTAGTAAGCTACTAGGTACAGGACGCTCCTAGGTAGGACGTAGGATAGCTCACGCTTCTTCAATGTCAAGGAAGCTCCCCCCCGCCTGAGGGTGTAATTCAGTGTAATTTTGATTGTGTAGAGAAACGGGGTGGTGGAATAGTATTTTGAGGAGTGTTGCCCAGATTCTGAAGGGAGTCGATCAATGATGTGATGGTTTGGATCATTCAACCTTTTAAGAGTGGACAAATCCGTTTGCTGTTTCGTTGCTAAGAAGGCCTCCAGCATCGTCCGGTGGTTGCAGAGAAGGCCTGCCCATTGCTTGTGCAGCGCCACATCACTTCTGACATGTCGCAACAAATCCAATGACTCACCACTTCGGGGTGGGTGAGGGGTAAGTTCCCCAAAAGTGGCAGTGAAGTACACTGGACCTGATCGAATACACCACCGTAAGACCCAACAAATCACAGGGGGGAAGAACCCGAACGTCACGATGCCCACGCCGGACCAGGATGTGGGGAGTGCCCAATTCGGGCGGTCAGTCCGGTCGCTAGCAAACGAAGGTCAGTCCGCTTGCATTCAAGCTCCCAGTAACAATGGGACGGTGAACATCACCTTTTCATGTTTGGGACGGTCCAAATGGAAATCCATAGTCTCATTGAGTCTCATTACATGGAAATCCTTCAAACAATCACTACGAATCCTTTGTTTCTGGTCACTCGTTCAAGAGATCCTGTTTCCTTCCACGTGTTGTCCACGTCAGGACGCTCACGGCGCATGGCGTTCAAGCGGCGCTTCAAAAGGTGGGTGTCATGGGAGGATGGCGGTGAGGAGCGACGAAGGAACTGATGGACTGCGAGGGGCTCAAATCGACCAATTCCAGGTAGTTCAATGAAGAACTTGGAACCTACTAGCGATGGCCTCCAAGCTACTAATTCCGGAGATTCCTTCGAAGCATCTTCCTATCCAAAGAAAACCTTTTTCCAGTCCATTCCCTGTAAGCCTTGTGGGGATTGGACAGCCCACCGTAGCAGTGGCCCAACGCTCTTTGAAACCCTGTAAGGGGATAGACATGAGTTGCATGAGGTGGTCAAAGCACAGAGACACTTTCAATGATTCTCTTGATAGAGAAGATGATGATTCTTCACCTGGAAGGTGATCATTTGGCTTTTCAGTCTTCATGTCGGAACCTCTTGCTATTGAAACGTCCCTTTGAATCCCTTTGAAAAAGGAACAACGACTACCCAATCGTCCCATGGCCTTTAACCCAGGCACTTGCCGCATGGCTTCCCTTCTCGGCCCGGCACAGTCAGGTCCTGACGGACGGCAAGTACGCGCAGCGAGCGCGTGAAGTCCAAGGGTCGTTGCTGAAGACCAAAGGGGCCCAGGTGGGGAGCGCCTTTGTTTTTTTTTGAGGTGGGTGGGTAGGTAGGCCGCTAGAGGTAGCTACGTAGGAGAGCGAAGACGCTTCTTCTTTCGGAAACTTCCCGGCGCCTGGCGAGCGGCGGGGGAAGCTTCCTTACAGAAGCACTCGCACGAATGATTTGGTTCCTACCTAGCGCTTCCAATGGGTGTCCAATGGTGACCTATAAGTAGTGTAGGGTTGTCCGTTGGTAACCCCGAACAGAAGCAGCTGGTAGATTTGAAGTGTTCCTGAGAGGGGGGGCGATGTGGCTTGCCTGTTCAGATCAATGGTTTGTTCCGTCCGGAGACCACTTCAATGGTTCAACGACGTGAAAACGTTGACTGTTGACGGTGAATTACAGTGAACGAGGGGGGTGGCCTTGCACTGAAAAGTGACAGGTTGATCTGTGGTGTAGGTTTACAGGAGAATCCAGGGGAACTCTCACCATTTGTCGGTGGATACCCCGGTCAGGACTGTAGAGGATGATGGCCTCCCATTTTCAGTGCTCAATGCCAGTTTTCAGGAAGATGCCTCTCCCACAACCAGATGTGTGCCGTGAAATCATCCAACTAATTCCACGACTAGTGTCTTCTACTAGTATCAAGAAGCTATTGGGGTGGAGGCCATCGCAAGTAGTATACACTTTGAGACCGGCACGGTCCTGGAGCGAGATCACCGACGGGCGATGGCCAGACTCGCGCCTCCCGCGCCCTTTGATCGAAGAGACGGCCTCGTGTGACTTGCAGGCGTGTGTGGAGGCCATCGAAGACTTCATGGAACGCGACGGCTGCCAGGAGCTCTTTTTGAGGCCGGAAAAAGCCCAAAACCTCCGATCATAACTATGAAGTTACTTACAAGTTGCTTGCTTATGAGCTGACAAGCAACTTGGAACCAGGCATTCCGGCAACTCATCGATCTAGAGAACGCTACGAAATGCTCATGTTGTTCGAACTTGAAGTCTTCAAGGACGCTACGAACGGGGCTCCTGGCCTTACTGCGAACGGAGCAAAGGCCATTACTACGAACGGAGCAAGAAGAAGACCTTTCATCTGAAAATCAGTCGTCTCCTCAGCCGTCACTCCACCAGCCGTCAGGGACACCGTCGCTTCCCGTCGTCCGCTGGCGCTGCTGGCTGCCCTCGGTGCAACGATGGCGCTGGGAGCGTTGGGCTACGTGCAGCTGCGGCGGAGCTGAGGGTGAAGAGAGCCAAGGGGCATCGATTGACAGGGGGTTCTATGGTTGAGAGGGGGGAAATGGACATTGGGGAAGCTACTGGGGGTCACTCATGAAAAGTAATCGATGTGAGCAAGTCGTGCAAGTTAGTAGGTCTTTTTGAAGATCAATCAGATCATGTCTTCACTCCGTAGAAGAACGGTTGTGTTCATCGCTTCATCACATACGGACGTGGATCCCGAATCCAGCTTTACCAGCTGAGGCTTTATGAGGCTTTTGCTTGGTATTATATCATGTGGCTTGCCAAGCCCTTAAGATGGGATTGACAATGACCATCCTTCTTGCCCTCCCGGCAAGCAGTCATGATCTACTGAATGACTATGGCAGACCCTGCTGTCCAAACTGACTTTCCCCGTGTTGTGTGCGCCTTGTACAGATGAATGCGTTCGCAGCGGTTGAGCGAATGTCAGTGAACCGATGCTTCTAACCAGAGTACTTTGACGCTTCCAGCCAGAGTTCTTTTCGTTCTGCACCTGGAGATCAACCCAAACCCCGGAGAATGGATCAATGCCCTCAAAAGTTAAATACACTGCAATACCATCAACTGGACTCGTTGCCCCTAAGTCGAATCTCTTTAAAGCTGAGCAAAAGAAACTGGTCTAGGTAACAGACAAAACATCATCCAGTAGGTGCCCAGCGAGGGTTTACCTCAGGAGATGCTTAGATCATAGATCTCTGGAGTCGGAAGCAGATTCCGTTGGGGCCGCAGACGTCCGGCCTCAGAATTCCGGATCACTTGAAAGAGTCCGGCGCATGCCCCTTGAAAGTCCTTCCTGAGTCGATGGCGATGCGCCGACCATGTTTTGCGGCAGGTTCTGCGTCGCCACGAGAGGAAAGCGAAGGACGAGAAACCTCAGTGGTCACCATGTCAACCAGCTTTTTTCAGAACAAACAAAGGAGAAAAAGATATGTAAGAAACAAGAAAAATACAAAAAGTAAAAGCAAAAGACAAAACAAAAACAAATAAACAAATAAACAAAGATATTATCTGTGTCAGTCGTCACTTCTTCATCGAAATTGATCAAAGATCAACCATTGCTAGATGGATATCCAATGCTCACTTGGGTGGCGAGGTCGTGTGCGTCACTTGGGCGTCGACCTGCGGTGTGGCCTGTCTTTCCCTGCGCACAGCCGTGGGAGTTCACTTCACGGCATGCTGTAAAGGTGTGGGTCAATGATCCAAGACACATGTAGGTTGATCAACCAAAGCCCTATGGAAATCTGAACATCCTATAGGATACACAAGTCATGAGCCTCCATCGTTAGTTGGAGACCATCGCTCTAGCAGGTTGGAGGCCATCGCTAGTAGGGTGGGGCCATTGCTTCTAGGTGTATGATATATTCTATATATTTCTTTGTTATTTCTAATATATTTCTATTCTATATACTCTATCTATTTATTAATGTTATATTTCTTTGTTCTTTTTCTCATTAGGTTGAACCGGATGTTTTGTTCAGACTCCATGTGTTCACCATCACCCGATCTCCACGCGGGTTGTCCTGGCCTCCATACCGGCCTGTCGTCGCTCGCCTGTCGTGGATACCGTGGACCCACCAGACCGAGACATGTCGTGGAGCTGACGAATGGTGTTCTGCAAGTCTATACAGTCTGCCTCACGCAGAAAAGGAGACGAAGGTGGCCGTTTTTAATGGGTTCCCGGTCGGTTGGATGGGAAGCAGGGAGGGGAAGATCTTCAAAGGACCTTGCGAAGTGGGAAGGGAATGCTAGTAGGTTGGAGGCCATCGCTAGTAGGGTGGAGGCCATTGCTTCTAGGTGGAAGTGAACAGGGCAGGAAGCGGATTGCATCACTGAAGCCCTGAAGCCGCCGACCGCTTCCACACATGAATGAAGGTCTATCGTTCTACTTGTCACTGATGTGGAGACAGACATGGTAGACCATGTCTCGCTAAGGTTCTGTGTCAGTACTCTCTGCTGGTCAAAAGCACACCCAAAGCCATATCTCTCAGTACAGTATGTTGTTCAATTCTTGAGGTACCCTGCAACTACTCTACAGACCCAAGAGTGAGGACGGCCTTGACAGTGAGGACGGCCTTGACTGCCAACTGGGTGCCCTTACTAAGGGGAGCAAGGACATGCCTGGCTGTTCTTTGGTTGGACATACCAGAATTCGTCCAATTGAGCTGAGATTTGGACGTAAAAAGACCTGCGAAGAGACCTCCCCCGGCCACCACTTGTGGCCAGTAGTGCCCGTACTCGACCTCGAGCCGGTTCGACCTGAAAAGAGCACCGCACCTCTCGAACTCGGGAGGCGATCAGAGAGCTCGTACTGTCCGAAGTGGAGTTCAAGGCCTTAGAGTTGGGGAAGAGGAGTTCGAGCGACGGCCTCCAACCCAATAGAGAACAAAAGAACGGACCCACAAGGGGTGATGAATGGACACCCCTTAACCTCTAAGGGGCTATCATTAGACACCCCTTAGGGGGTCCTGGTATATAGATTAATAAACCTAGACATAGAAGCGATGGCCTCCAACCTAGGAGAGACTGTTTGGGCAAGCAATCGCAAGGGATTGATGTTGCCACTCGCGCGTTCGTCACGTTTCTTGCCTAACACAGTTTGGACAATCATTCCAATCACAACACAAGAGGTCAGACACAACATGGGTCAGGGGTGCTTTGTTCATGTTTAGCAACTTCTCATAGTAGGTAGGGTCAGCAGATCTGGGGAAGCAGGTCTGAGGTGAGCAACACCAAGTTCGTGCTTCTGCGGGGCATCCGCTTCTACAAAATCTAGAAGAAATACAGTGATCAGTATGATTATAAGTGTACTAAATGTCTTTGTTCCAAGTCCTTTTGGAAATCCAACTGTTGGGGTTCAGTGGTTGGTGGCTCTCATGCCCTCTTTGTGAGGGTCTAGTCTATGACCAACCAATTCGGCTATGTGGGTGATCCATGATACCTCAGGCATGGCCGGCGACCCCAAAACGACCACTAGGTCAGACGATGCCGACGTAGCTTCTTGTTAGTAGTACTCCGTTCGTTGGTAAGGCCAGGAGCCCCGAACGTAGCTTCTTGTCAGCCGTAAGGTGCCAGGAGTGACGTTCGTAGCCTCCGATCGCTCCGTAAGGTGGCCCACGAGTGGTGACTACGCCGTCGTGGTCAGCCGTCCCGGTCAGCCGTCCAGGTACATGAGAAGTCGGAGGAGATGCTTATCAAGGGCAAGCAGGTGTGAGTGGGAGAGGGTCGTTGTGCGGAGGTGTGAGTCGGGTGCAGGATTCCTCCTGGGAGTTCCTGGAAAATAGAGCCAGGCCAAGTCGTTGATCTGCATGTTCGAGAGTTTGGAGCCAGCCACGACTCCAGGGTGAGCCCGCCGAGAAAAGCTCGCCTAGCCTTGCGCAAGCTGAGAAAAGGCTTCGTGCACGAATGAGCAAAGCCAAGAGACAGATCAAAAGACCCCACTGAGGTGCCAAGTGTTGGCACGGCATTTTCCAGTCTTCTCCCTCGTTTGGATCGATTGGATCCAGGTTTCTTTGTGGTTTGGAGGGGAACTCATGGTTTTTTTTCAGGCCTTTTTTCGGGGTTTTCACCGTTGGTTTCATAAAGTGTCGTTCCTCAAATGTCAGGACACAAAGCATTACATAGAGTCACCTCTATCTCACCAGAGCTGGTGAGATCGTGCTTCAAGTTGGCTTCATGCGAAGACGACGATGTCGCACGAAGGCAGAACATGTCTCTTTCCTATCACAGATCTGGAGCCTTCAGACTTCCCTCTATTTGCCAACCGAACGGAGCAGTCGGGCATCGCTACGAACGGCGGCCGCACCAAAGGGCCGGTGCGAATCACCGTTTGGTAGCGATGGCCTCCACCGTGCGGTTTCTTCTAGTTACTAGATGTTACTAGAAAGCTTCAAAGACCTAGGACCTAGCTATTTGTAGCTATTTGTTACTAGTAGCGATGCCCTTGTTACTAGGAGTATGGCCAGGAGCTACTAGTAGCTTCGGAATCGAAGACCGTCGACACGTCCTGGGTGTTCACTTCCGCATCCGCGGGAGCATCCATCGGATGCGGTCTCTGGGCCTCTGGGTCTCTGCGAGGTGGTGGCACAAATGCAGTTGGGAGCCTCAGACGAGGATTTTTTGGGGGGTCAGAGATGAATTGCCAATGATGTAGAATTGCAGGTGAATGCTTGAATGCTTATAGCCATTGGGTTTGGTGCTCTTGGTGGTTGGGTTGAGAAGCTTACAGTAGGTCTATTGTTTGATTGTCTGGGCCTTGAAGCGCAAATGCCGAAGCCAAACAGAGGTTGAAACAGAGGTTTTGACCCCCAACTCAGAAAGGAGGAAAGACCGGACAAGAGGAACGTGGCTGATTTGACAAGTCAAAGGTCTCCGACGATGTACGATGTGTGACCAGGACTGGTGGTGTTGTGTGACCACATCGTCCTGTGCTTGCTCCAGCAGAGTCAAGAGTGGCGGCACTTCGTCAAGAGTGGCTTCCGAAAAAAAACGATCCGGTGAGTCGCTTTTCAAAAATGCCAAAGTCCACAAGAATGCTGAAGAACACAGTTGACAGTCTTTGTCCTGTGCAGTCTGTGGGACTTCATCGTGGCTTTTTGTCATGCTTTCACATGCAGGTGGTGGAAAGGGCCACTGCAGCCGTGGCGAATGACGTGTTCGACCCATTTGTACCACAGCGACCTCCCCCCCCTCCGAGTGGTCCACCTTTGCTCCGTTCGTAGCGATGCCCTTTGTTCCTAGTAGCTTCTTGTTCCGTTCGTAGTACGGCCAGGAGCCCCGAACGTAGCGTCCGATCGCTCCGGACTCGAGTCGCGATGCCGCGGGTCGCCCCGTTCGAGTCGCGAAGCTTGCCCTTTCTGGCACCGTCGCCGTTCAGCGAACGGACTTGGCAACCAAGCGCCATGAATGCGGATCCGTGGCAAACGAACCTTAGGTCCACAGGGTCATACACCACAAAAACACATGACATATCTCGCACACCTTGCTCTGGAAAAAAAAACACCAGCGGGGTGAGTGGGTCAGGCACCAACCAACGGGACTTCAGTGCCGGTCCAACGGCGTCCGCCCTCGACGGGACCTTTTTTGGTGAGGCATCGGCATCGCGAAAAGACGCAGCAGCTGCATGAAGAGATTGCAGCTCGTCCAGTTGGGAACGAGGTCTCCAACTAGACTACACCAACTACACGGGCATCGCTACGAGTCCGGAGCGACGGGCATCTCTACGAGTCGGCTCCTGGCCTTGCCACTAGGAACAGGAAGCTACTATTGGACCGTTCGTCCTTTTCTTTTTTTCATTGTTCCTCATAGCGATGCCCTCCAACCTACTAGCGATGGTGTTGGATCCAGTGTGTGAATCCACAAGATGAATGTAAGTCAACCTTTGTGGCTAGGAATGTGTAGAGCCCTGGTGCACCATATCACCATGTAGCGAAAAACCCGTCACGTAGGTGGGTCAACCTAGGTATCGCCAGAAACCCACAGTGCGAGAAACCAAATGGGCGAGGCTTTATTCAACAACAGCCTAGATTAGGGCTTTTAGTTTTGCCTGATCATTTTTGGATGTGGCTAAATAAATACATGTAATTGTGTTTTCTCCATGTCCCACAAAGTGCACAATGAAATCAGCCAATCAGGCCGAGACTGGACCATTTGCCAAGCATGCTGTTCAGAACCAACCCTTTTCAGAGCCCGATTGAAAACATTTTGGATGTCCGGCGCTGTAGGTGGAGAAAAACAGAATGCTAGTTTCGTGACCGCCTGACCCATGCATACCTCTCTATCTCAGAAGTTGTAATGTCGTTTATACGGTGCAGATGTCCAAGGACCGCTGCCAGAAGAAACAGCAAGAGTTGGAGAGCGAGAATGGGCGTTTGAAGCAGGCGAGAAACGAAGCAGGTGGCAGGTGGTTGGGTCATGAATTGACCAAGCTGCCCTGTTCGAGTTGCTACTAGTAGCTTCTTATTGCAAGTAGTAATAGCCTCCAACCTAATAGCGATGGCCTCCACCGTGCGTAGCTTCTGGTTCCTAATTCGGGACGATGGGGACCAAATCTACGGATGCTCTTTGGGGCCAGCCGTTGGAGGTCCAAAAGACCCGGGTCTGACCACCCAAAAGGTCCTCCAAACAACGAAGGAACCGTCGAGGTTGGCGATGTCATGTCCCGGTGCTGTGATGTTTCCTTCGGAACCGTTACTAGCCCTAAGGGGTCCAGGACCATCGGAATCGGATGGTCGAACGGAGGTGAGTACGTGCTTCCTGAGAATGGTCGAACTGGGGCCAAAGGACATCCTCAGGATGGTCCTGGACCCTTAGGGTAGGGAATCCACCAACATTGCAGTTTGCTCTTTTTCCAAGCTGAAGTTGCAGAGTAATGCATGGCGCAAGGGCAAGAAGCTAGTAACAAGGGCATCGCTACGAACCTAGCTCCTGGCATTACTACTGCAAGGAACTAAGAAGCAGCTACCAGTAACAAGCACACAGATGTGCCGGACCGATTGCCGTCACCTCCACAGAGCCTAACCTCGGCGAACGTTGCCAGCGACCGGGACCGGACGAACGGACTGGGCTTCGCGGGCGAACGGCCAGCTGTCTCAGTTCCGTCTCAAAGAGACGCTCCGCTCGTTTAAACGCGGAGACATCAAGAGACATCAATCAAGAGACATCCCCTAGAAGTCCAGATCGCATCTTTTGACCACCCTAGAGCATCGGACATTCCTTGCCTCGGGTCGGAGGTAAGACCATCGTCGAAGGTTTCGAGGCTCCGAAAGCCATTTCCAAGTGCTTCGAAGCGGTTTCCGAGGGTGACAGTCTTTGGGCTTGGGTCAAACATGGGCAAACAGTGCCATCTCTTATAACAGAGGGCAGCACCTTGTTGATCCATAAAGATGATGAAGATGTCGATTTTCAGCCACTGGCGCCCTGTGCACACTGAAAACCCAGATGTTTGGAAGCGACCCTTTGCTCTTCTTTGTTTCCAAGTGACTTAGCTCTTCTCCCGTCTTCCCCCCCTTTTTTGTTGGCTTCCTCTTTCGCTTGGCCACGTCTTTATTCCCGGTCCCATCCCATCCCACACTCGCCCAGACTCTGCAAGAGTTGGCCTCGCAATTCACCTTGATCGGACCGGCACCGCGCTTCCGGAGACGGGGGGGGAAGGAGGGCCGCAGCAACGGAGCAGCAACGAGCAGCAACGGGGCTTCAGCTGCACGAAAAAAGAAAACGAGGGGCTTGCTTTTGATGAGGTTCATGTTGTTGGACACCGGATGGATGCGATTTGGAGCGGACACGAAGCACACGAAGCCCTCCGTTCCCGATGTGTTCGGGAGCTCAGAGGCCAAGAAAAAGGTCCTGCAAAAGAGGCTTGTCCTTGGAACACTGTGGTTTGTAAAAGATTGGTGCTAAAAAAAATAGGTGACGGTTTCTATTCACTTGGAACAGAAGGGCTGCCTCCTCCTTGATTCATCTAGAGTGCCCAAGCATCGTCGCTGGAACAGAATGAAGGTGGATCACGCTCCGCTACCTACATGACCAATAGGGAGGTCCTTTCTAACCCGACGAGCCTCATGCAATCAATGACAACTCTACATGATCTGGCGTTGACTTTGAGGGGGCAAGGGGAAGGCATTGGGTCTTGGAGAAGGACAAAGAGGATCTTAAATGCCGAGGCCTTGCGGAACCTGTAGATTATGGGCACGACAATGCTATTGCTAGCAATTGACAATTGAGGACCAACTGGTCTCAGGTCCCAAAACACATGACCCCGTGATTGTCGAGTTGAGAACAACTTGAACATACTTGAACCATCCCCTGACAGCAACCTGGACGGATGCTTTTTCCAGATACGTGCTCTGCTTCGACAGGATGATCAGCCGTTCAGGTCTGGTCCAGATTGGTCCCTTCATTGTGGATGGCATCCCAAGTCCATGACTCTCCTTCTGGTTAGGTGGGAGGCCATCTCTTAGGTTGGTGGCCATCGCGATCGTAGGCTGGAGGCGCTATTAGGTCGTGGATGGCATCCCAAGTCCATGACCGCTCGTTCTGTATCTTTTTCAGACAAACAGTGTGCTTCGTCTTGCTCCAGTTTGGCGCTTCAAATCAAGGCAGCGAGTGTCCCTCTAATTCTATCAACAGGGCGAATGGTGGTTTAGAGGTAGATGACCCCATGCTTGGGGAAAAGTATCATGAAATTCAACTGTAGAGGATGCTGCACCTCATGCTTGATGGTCAAAACAACTCAGTTGGACATGCCACATGCCACATATGCCATACACCTGTGGTCATGCACTTTGAGCTCCAAAACTGGGCCGCAGCGCCGGCGCTCGTTCCTTCGCGCCGCTCTCGCCAGTCCGAGTGCCGACGCAGGAAACACCTACCTGAACGGTTTGAACGGCAAGGACCGTTCTTGGGTGGTCGGACGCCGCACGGTCCGCCTCCCGGTTGGGGTGGGAAAACACCGTTGTTCGCCGCCGTCGTGGGTCGTGGCCGGTCTTGGCGCCCAAGAAGGCCGTGGCGTTTCGTGAGGACCGTCTAATTGAACATGCGCACGGCGCTGTAGCGCCACTATCATTTTCAAAGATGCAACTGCAAATTCCACGTTTTGCGAAATCACAAAACTACCTTTTTTTGCACTCACCGGCTCTGCTTAGCGACTTTGCACAGCTCATTCATTATGTTGGCCTCACCAACGTCATTATGTTGGCTGACGATGTAGACTGACGTCATTATGTTGGCCCCCCCCCCCCCCCCCCACCCCCCACCCCAACAATTTGCAGTTCTGACCGTCAGCAACTGTCCATGTCGTACGTGTTGTTGTTGCAAGTAAGCAAGTTTACAGACATCAGAGAACTTCCAATCCATACCCAACGTAGCATCAACTTGGCGAATGGCAAAAACGTTGAAATTCTCCACCCAAGGGTACAATTTAGAGTGCAACATAGCAAACATTTGGTGACTTCAATTCACATGCGAGGAGCTAGCCTCATGTTATGTGCAGTCTGCGATATGTTTCAGATACGATGAGCTAGCATCATGTCATGTGCAATCTGGGATATGTTTTATTGTTGTGCAATGCATGCAGTCTGAGATATGTTTTA